CTGAGGAGCAGAGACTGTGTCTCAAAGGAGAAAGGATTGATGCAATGAAGACTGTGGGCGGACAAGCCCCTGCCCTGTCTGGTCTCGGTTGACCGGATGAGAACTCAGGGACACTCTTTGTCTGAGCATAGTCACCATGATTCAGCCCTCTGTCAGGATGAGAAGAACCTGGTTGATGGGCCCTCCTGCTGGACAGCACCTGCCTGATCCCTGTGCCCAGATCTCAGGGAATGAGGAGGGGACCTCAGGGCTTCAACTGAAAGAGCTGGGATGTGTGATGCTCTGAAATGTTTTTACTCATCCCAGGGCATTAATGCAGATGCTGTTGTGGGCCTCAAAGACCCTGGGGCCTCACAACCATTTCCAGACTGGGAGAACACAACTTCCCAGAGGTTAAGGATTGGGGAACATTGTTGGCAATGATGATCTCCAATCCCTGGGTACTGGCACTCCCATCCCCCAGCTCCACATACCCAGCCTCCTCTCTTGTCCTCCTTTCTGAGCCTTCGTGCCTCTGGCCTTGTGACGGACCGGTTCCCAGCATGGCTGACCTCCTCTGTGAGTATTCTGTTCACCTTCTGCTTTAACCGAGTGTGAAGGGACCCAACCCGGCAGTCCTCTCACTGGACCCTGCTGTTTTCCTTCACACTCATGTACCTCAGGGCCAAGCCAGGTATATGGCTCCCTTATCCTTGTTCTCACTTCTAAACAATTCCTCCTGCTGCACCCACTTTCCCTTTGGAGCTGGACCTCTTAGATTCTTACCACCATTGGCATCAATTTCTCTGTTGCTGTGTTGTGCTCAACACAAAGATTTGGACTCCCGGTTCTCCTTCATCTTCCCTATAGTCAATGGAATCCTCATTCTTGCTCACTTCAACAGTCATGAAGATGACCCAGCCCACATCCTCTTCTCTCAATTCATTTTTCCACCCACCTTGGACGGTGCCAACTCCAGCACCCACTACCAGGAGCACTTCTGGGAACTTCTCACTACCAGAAACCCAGTGCCTCTGAAGTCTAGCACGCACTAATGTATCCTGACTTCCTGGTTCACGTACTGTCAGCTACTGAATAACCAAACCTCACCAGGACCTCCCAAACCCATTGGCCTCTTACCTACTCTCACCATCCATGGGATACTGTCCTTCACTTGTCTCTTGTTATAGGCTGATGGTGTCCTCCCCAAATACATATGCTAACCTCTAGCACCATTCAATCAGAACATGTATTTGGAGATTGGGGGGGGGCTTTAAACAGCTAATTAAGTTAAATGGTGTCACTAGGGTGGGCCCTAATCCAACACAACTGGTGTTAGGCCCCAGGGAGACAAGAACACAGGCTCACACAGACGGAAGACCACGTGAAGACAGAGGGAGAAGCTGCCATCCATCGACAAGCCAAGGAGACAGGCCTCAGGAGAAACCAACCCAGCTGATGCTTGGATTCTGATTTCCTGCCTCCAGAACTGTGAGACAAGAAATTTCTGTTGTTTACTACTGAGTCTGTGGAACTTTGTTGTGGCAGCCTGAGCTGACTAGCACAATCCCAACTCAGCTCAGATTCCAACATTACAACCATTCTCTTGCTGTACTTCTCTCCCTCAGTTGTATTCACCAACTCTGGCTGAACCAGAGTAACCCATCTACTTCTTGCTGAACCCAAGAAGCTGAGCAAGGTATGTGTGTATGTTGGGATGGGGTCCTATAGCAACTCTAATTAATGTGCTAAAATTTATGACCCCAAACCCTCCTATATGGCCCAACACAGCTCATAAATCTCAATCAAATTTCCTGAGCAAGTTTACTTTCCTTTCTACATTTCAAGAGGCTCTATCGTGTTTTTTTTTTTTTAATGGCTTGAGAATCCCACCCCACATCTCAGCTCCTTCTGTGACTCTGCAGATCTGGGACCAGGCGGTACCAGTTGAGAGCCTCCTCACACTCTACTTCCATCACAGGTATAGTCCTGCAGGTCATGGGTTCAAATTTTCTGTTTCCCCTGTAAAACAAATGTCTCTCCAGCTCCTTTTGGTCCTTCATTGGTCTCCTCATCCACCTCCTTTTACTGGATTCCTTCCTTGTATTTGTCTACGTACAACCATGAATTTGCCTTTCCTTTTAGAAACACTTCCCTTGACTGTCATCTTCTTCCAGAAATTCCCTTATTTTTCTGCTTCTTTTAATACCAACTCTCTGATCAGAGTCACCCGCGCTTGCTGGTTCTACTCACTGCTCCATCAACAATCTTTTTCTGCCAATGAACCATTCCCATCCACATTCAACCAGTCTTTCTTCCTACTACTCCAGCCTGATCCTTGTCAGGTTCACTGACAATGTCAAGGCTGCCAAGCTTAATATCTCCCCTCTTCCTTGAGCTCTCTACAGAATCTATATGGCTGGCCAGTCTCAGCTTCCCTCTTGAATCTGTGACTCATCTCCTGTTTTTACGGGCTGCTGTTTCTCACTCCCTTTGCATCTTTCTCTATTTGACCCCCTGTCCCTGTTCTCCTGTTTCTAGATGATCTCATCCAGGTCGGGGACTTTAAATATCATTTAGGTGCTGATGGCTCTTGAATTTATATCTCTGTGCTGACCTCTCCCTTGAGCTCCAGACACATAGATCTAACTTGACATCTCCATTTAGATGACTCAAAGCATCTCAAATCCAACATGCTCTGACAGGATCTTTATGCCCATTCCCCACCTTGTTCCCCATCTCAGGAAATGGTGCCATCATCCACTTAGTGTATATTAAGACATACAAACAAACAAACAAACACAGGAATCTCTCTCACTGCCCTTTTCCTTCCCAGTGTATCTGATCTGAGACACACAGACCTACGCACATCTTTCCATCTTCACTCTCAACCCTCATCCACACTATTATCCTCTTTCATTTTGAAATGGAAACTGTTTCCTAAATGGTCTCCCTGCCCCTTTGTGGGCAGGGGCTGCTCCCAGAAGGAGGGCTCTGGGGAGGATTGGTTTCCTGCCTTGCCCATGACACAGTTGATGGTGCTAATTCAATTAATCCGTTTGCCCAAGAGGCGGTGCCTGTGTTCCCTCCTTTCTGTTCAACTTGCTTCAGAAGCAGCACTTCCATTCACAAAGCCAGATCAAGTGCCATTAACAAATTAATTCTGATTAGCGCAGCCCAAGCACTCAGACCTCAAGGCAATCCTGGTCAGTCGTCTGGGGCCTGGCCTGCTAATAAAGTGGAAACCGTGCTGGAAGCAGAGGCGATTATTTTGATGCCTGTCTACGTCCCTGGAGGGGAGAAGAGTGGGATGTGATTTCACTACAGTCTCTAGAGGGAATTAACTCACTTTCAAATGATAAGTTATTAATTCCCCAATGTGGTGGTCAGCTCTGTGAGAACAGAGTCAGCGCAGCACACCTCCCTGTAGCCCCTGAAGCTTCTATTTAGGAATAAGTATTCATCAGGTGCCCAATAACTGGGAGAGAAAAATAATTGGTAAGTGAGAAATAAATCTAGGGCCTGGTATCATTAGTAACACTACATTCTTTTATTTAACAAATGCAACTGGGCTGCTACTCTGATTGGCACAGCAGATTCAGAACCAGTTGGTTCTATTTAGACAGTGCCCTGTCCTCTTGGACCACACAGACTGTGGGAGGAAGGCAGAGAATTGGCATTAGCCAAACAAATGCAAAGCTGCCCTCAGAGATCTGGCTAGCAATGCAATCAAGACAGGAAAAGTGGTGTAGGTGCCAGAGTGCTGATGTGAGGGAAGGATGCTCTGGGAGAGCCTGAGGCCCTGACCTAGGCTGGCTCTGCAAGAAGCCAGGAGCCAGCTCTGGAGAAAGAACCTTCTAGAGAGGGACCATAAAAATGTAAATGCCTGTTTTTTAGAGAGCTAGGTGCATCCATCCAGCATAGCCATCTTTGCCAGCCAGCTGTTCTCCTTGTGGTCCCCAGGGCAGGAGACACATGTCCTGCTGAAAGGCTGACTTTGTCCACACTCATTCCATCTGCGTGGATGTCATCCCTCCATCCTTCCTGCCCCTCTCACTCATGGCACAGGGCTTTGCTCCATACCTACCTTGTCCAACAAAGCCTTTCAATATTCTAACTGTAAGGACTCCTTGCCCTCTCTCAAGTCCTGGAGCACTTGCTTGGCACCTGCTGTCTCCGTTTCTCTGCAATTGGGCCTCCTCTCCTATGCTCTCTCTTGCCCTGTTCCTATCACTGGGTGGCTCAAGGGTAAGGGGCTTCATCCCCTCTATCTCTCATACTCCCAGGCTAGTCACAGATTCCTCAGTTGTTGACACACAGGGAGTCTGAATAGATTGCTTGGTCCAATGCAATCCCTAACTGAATGAAGACTCCTAGAAGTCTTGCTTCTAGAATGCCTAATGTGGACAAGAAAGGAAGGCACTCCATATAATTAAGGCTGCTTTGGTTGGAAAGTAGTTTCCAAAAGGACGATTAAAATTTTTTTGAGACTCCAATAATATTAGCTTTCTAATAATAATATTTGGATTCCAATAATATTAGCTTTCTTATGGGAATGCTTGGAAGCTCTTATAAGAATCATTCCAGCCAGAGGGATAATGATTGGCTTGAAAAAGACCCAGGGCTAAGAAATCAGGTGAAGAAAGAGGCCAATTACCCTCCCGGAGCCCAATCTGACCATCTCCCTAAGTTCAGAACTCACCATAGCCAAGCCCATCAGTAAAACACAACCTTCTTCCCATTCAAAACCTCCCCTCTCCCAGTATTCCCAGAAGCCCCACAATTCCAGTACTCCTTAGTGTCACCCAAAAAGCTAGAATATCATCCAACAAAACACGAAGGTACAACAGGGTCTTCAGCTTCAAGACACCTTGCCATCCCATCTTGAGTTGAAAGGCGTCCTGAGCACCCAGTGCTATGGCTAATGGGGATGAGGCCATGGTGCCCAACCCTGGAAGAGGGAAAGCCAGTGGGCATGAGGATGAGATGAACGTGGAGATGTGCTGGGCACTGCTGCTAACCTTTCACGAGGACCGTCCTGGCCTCAGCCCACTCGCTCCTCCCGTCTGACGTCAGCAGGCCGATTGGAGGTAAGCGTTCATCCTCGTTGGAAGCCATTTTGACTATCTTTTTCAACTGAGTGAACAGATCCCCCTCACTGAGACGGCGGAAATTAATGACAACATCCAAGACAAAGAACTGTGGGGGAAACAGGTCAAACATGTCACTCATGGCAGCTGGCCCAACGTGCCAGGCCTTCACTGAGACTTCACTGGTGAGCTAAGGTTCGGGACTACTCAGGCCCAAGGTTCCCAAGGTATTTGGTAATACTGAACTGTCCCAGTTTGGGGAATGACCCAATATTATTGACTGTGTTGGACTTCGATGGTGTCTCCTGCCACCACCGAAGAAAGCCAGATTAAATTTAGCCAAAACAAAACTGGCTTTTGTGGTTTCTAGTTCATGTAAAACCATTATGTCTTGGAAGAATGGTTCAACCCCACTATGGGAGGGCAGTGTCTATCAAGACTAACATATACATACCTATGACTCAGCAATTGCTTTTATAAGTACATATTGTTTAGCCTACGACTTGGAGAAACATGTGTATCAGGGAGAATGTGTGCATATCAGCCTTTTTGCATTGGCAAGACAGTAGAAAGAGCATCATTTTTCTCCAGGAAGGGAATGGATAAGTAAAATACAGTGTTCTTATATAGTGCAGAATTAACTAGAATGAACTAGTTAGAGTTATGGGTATAGATCTCAAACACACTGGTGAGTGAAGAAAAATAAGCAAGCCAGCAGATAATATGCAGAGGAAGATTAAAGTAGAAAACCAATACACAAAACACTCTCTGCAACCAAGTGCACATGCCAGTATGTCTGCATGTACTCTGTATGGTGCTGTCATTCTGTCACTTTGAAGGTCAGAGCCTTCATAAAGGGCTTCATAAAGGGCCAATTCCCAGGTTGAGACATCATTTTCAGCTGATTGACATGCGCATCTAGCCCCTTCCCTGAGCAGTGTCTACATGGCCTGGTCTAGAGCAAGGGTCCGAGAGATTGTTTCTGGAAGGGGTGAATACTGTGCCATATGGGGGCTAGGAAATCCTGGGTTTGACTTGTGAGTGAAGATGGAAAATGGCTTTTGTTTTATGGCTGGCTGACCAGGTGCCAGGTGGGCTTCATAGCCTCTTGCTGGCCTTCAAACCTGGGAACAGAGGTCTCAACCATCTCAGATGGCAGACTTTCACTGGGCTCCCCTCTTATTAAAAATGTGAGATGAGCCCAAGAAGGAAACACTGTGGAACAAATACAGGGGGCTGAAGATCCATGGTATGGTTGTCAAACTAAGGTTTACCATTTAAAAAGCAAAAACAAGAAAATAATCCCCCAGCTCCTTTTTTTTTCAGGTGAAATACTTTTGTGAATCCTCAATATATAAAATATATTTTATATATATATATATATATATATATATATATATATATATATATATATATATACACTAAGAAGGGGTCAGGAACTCATCTTGGCCTGTTTCCCAGAGCTCCATGGAGCCCTTACTAGCTCTTCCGTGGAACGCTGTCTGAAGACCTGAGCTGCAGGGCATAGAACATTGGCCAGACCTATGGGGTCCTTTCTTCTCTTGGACACACCACTTTCCTGAATCTCACTTTCTTATCTGTCAAAAAAAGATTCAAAGATCCCTTCTGGAGGTTCATTTTGAGGACTAAATGGAAAGAATGAGCGTTAAGAGCTAGACCCATGATTTAGCATAGGGTGTCCCATCCGACAGTCCTTTACAGAGTTCACCTCTCTGGGGGGTAGTCTCCAGGGAGGCCACAGCCTGGGTAACTACATGGAAATAAACAGATATGCAGGTGGCAGCACCAAGGCCATGCTGGGTTTCACTCATGATCCTCATTCTTTCTGTCACTCAGGAGCTTGGCATGAGAGCCCAGGGAGGGCATTCCCTATCTGATGACTCTCCTTGCTAACTGGTGAACAGAAATAGGATTGACTGGAAGTAGGAGAGCCCACTTTGCAGAACTGTTCCCCAGTTCACTGTGTGACTCAGGGAAGTGGGCTGAGCACCTTGGAGAAGCAAGAATGGATGAGCACACTTGGCCACTGTGTACCTTAGTCCCTCCCCCAAGTTGGAGAGGCTGCAGAGGTGACAAGGGGTCATTTACCTGGTTGCAACAGGCCACAATGACATGTTCAGGCTCAGGCATGATGCTGCTTTTTTGGGCCACCAGTGTGTCCTGGGTGTGACCAGGGAGCCGGTAGGAAGAGAAGAGCCCATAGTACTGCTTCATACAGAGGGGCTGCCCTGAAAGCTGGCCCCTGGCACTGTCCGTGGGGATGGAGTGGCTGGAAGAGGAGAGCAAGAGAGAATCAGGCAGCCATGAAAGAATGGACAAGGGGGAGAGAGGAAATTTGAATCAGTTCTATTGTTCCTCTGTGAATGTGTGTGGTGTTGGGGATTAGACCCAGGGCATTGTGTATGCTAGGCAAGCACTCTACCACTGCTACACCGCCAGACCTCTATTGCAACTTGATTAGGAAAGATGGGGTACCAAGCCCAGAAGTGAATTTTTATGTCAATTTCAAAACTCACTTCTCTACTTTTTTTTTTGGGGGGGGGGGCGGTGGGCAGTACTGGGGATTGAACTCAGGGGTTCTCAACTACTGGGGCACATCCCCAGCCCTATTTTGTATTTTATTGAGACATTATCTCACTGAGTTGCTTAGTGCCTCGCTTTTGCTGAGGCTGGCTTTGAACTTGGGATCCTCCTGCCTCAGCCTCCGGAGCCACTGGGACGACAGGTGTGCACCACTGAATCCAGCACTTCTCCACTTTTTAAAATAGTAGAGTGACCCATTTCTGTGGCCCAGAGAGACCCTCAGAGTTTTCTCAAATCTCCCCTAACCCACCCCATCTCATGCATTGCTTATGTGCCCTCTGTGCCTTTGCTTATGCTGATCATTGATTAACACAGTTTTGTTCTTACCCCTGTATTCTGCAGTTCTATTTAGAAAACTCTCTCCTCTTCTCCAAAAGCCTCCTGCTTATCACCTCTTCTAGAAGCCTTTTTTGATTTCCAAGCATAAAGTTTTCTTCTATGGTCTCTGCATGACTGTGTCTATCATTCCTCCCACCCACCTGCCACCCATGTATCCATCCATCCATCCATCCATCCATCCATCCATCCATCCTTTCATGCTTTCAGACAACAAATAGTTGCTATGCCAGGCACCATTCTAGGGTCTGGAATACAGCAGCAAATAATCCTACTATGATGGGGTATGAGTCCTAGGATATGTTGGTGAGGGGACAGATCACATATAGCAAATTGGTAAACAGGATAACATCAGGTAGTAAGAACAAATGACTGGCAAGAGCAGGAGGATGTAGCCAGTTGGAGTGGGGAGGCAGTCTCACTGAGGCCCCATTTCACTGAGCTGCTACCATGTAGGCAGGCAAGGTGGAGTGTCCCACCACCCTGGCACCAAAGGTGCAACATTTGTAGCGACATTATGGAAATTTAAAATCTCGAATTCCATGATAAAACACATTTTGTCCTTGGTGACATTTTTCTAGTAATTTATTGTGGTTGTGTTTTATAAATTTTTTTTTAAAAAAGTCCTCCTTAGAAATAGTTTTGAGAAGCAACTGTGGAATGCTGAAGGCAGAAAGGAAACCAGTAGGGTTGAAGTTGAGGGAAGAGAAGAAAGGTAGGAAAGGCCAGGTCCTGTGGTTGGTTTTTTTTTTTTTTTTTTTTGGTGCTGGGAGTGGAACCCAAAGCCTCACCCATGCTAAGCATATTCTATACCACTGAGCCACACCCCAGCACTGTTTTGCTTCTGTAATGAGCTGAGTGGGAAAAAGGAGACCCGGGAAGAACAAGGAAGAGAGCTATAGCTGAGATGGAAAAGTGGGCTGTGGGCTGTGAGGGGAGGGAGAGGGAGAAGAGCAGCTGGGGCAGCTCTGAGGGAAAGTGACCACACCAGAACACAGTGAATAGATGTGGGGTGAGGAAGAAAGAGGGACTTCATAGTTCCTAGACTTACCAACTGGGGATGTGCTGGTGCACTTACTGAGACAGCGAGACAATGCGAGAAGCAAGGTGGGTGGAGGAGGGGCATCAGAGTTCATAGAGGCTCTTCTGTAATGACTGGGAGATGCCTGGGGGGATGCCTGGGGTTCAGCGGAAGAACAGAGCTGGACAGCTGTATTTTGTGTCTATGTTTCTGTCTTGCCCAGTATCTGAGAATCTTTTGAGGACAGGGATGAGGCTTTATTTCTCATCAGTATGTTGCAAAGTGAATTAGTTAATTAATTAAGGGTCCAAAACAGGCACTCAGGCAAATGTTCCAACCTTATGGCATTCACAAACATTGTGCAGATAGGCATGGATGTGGTGTGTGTGTGTGTGTGTGTGTGTGAGAGAGAGAGAGAGAGAGAGAGAGAGAGAGAGAGAGAGAGAGAGAGAGAGAGTTTGCACACACTCAGACACATACACCCCTAAGAGTTCATGTTCAGGACTGTCCATGATAAATGTCTTCAAAGTCCCTAGGCCTAGTGGGCAGGGTCAGTGCCCTTTCTCCACTATGTGGCTGGGTTGCTGTAAGTGATGAGGTGCTCTGAAGACAGAGATGGGGCTGTGAGCTAGAGGACTGAGTTCTGGGAGGAGACAGTATTGCCAGTGAGGAGGGAGATGGCCGAAGAAACACCTGAGGGGATAGAAGTTCTGGAGATCCAGTTTGGGAAGGTACAGTGACCACCACATTAGAGAAGAGTGTCACAGTGAGCATGGTTGGGTGCACACTGGGGAGGCTGCTGTGTGCCTAGCTTAAGGCTGAGAGATTTTAGGCCTCAGAGGACAGTCATGGTAGCCCACTGGAGAGGCTACTGTTAATATTTCCATTTGACAGGCAGGGGACAACAGCTAGAAGCTGTCAGACTCTGAGGTCCACACTTGCCCTTTGTGGCAATCTGAATTCAGATTCAGGTTGATGACCCCAGGGCCTGACCTCTGAGCCTTTCTACCCTTTGTTTTCTGAGAGTCCTGCCTCCTCCTCTCTAGAAGGTATGTGGGTCTGATGAGCCTCAAGGCTGGGTAAAGCCTGAGTTGGATCCAGTTGAACAAAGAATACAGGTTGGTCTTTGTTCCCTCCTTACCCTGTCACCTTCTGGCTGTGTGAACACAGGCAAATTACTTAATCTCGCTGAGCTTTGGTTTTCTTAATTGTGCAAAGGACACTACTTTGGGCTCCTCTCTCTTTCTAGCACCTGATTCCCTTATATACTATGCCTCTGCAGACCTGGGTCTTCAAGACATCCTCACTCTCCCTGCTGTTCCTAGGAGCCTTGGGGCTTGGCCAGGAGAGGCACTTTCCTTCTAAAATCACAGATAACCTACTGTGCTTGTACAACTCTTTCCATCTGTGGGAGCATCCCCATGTCCACTGAGTTTGGTGGGATTGAAGAAAGAAGCTCAGAGCAGGGAGACCACTCCCACCGTGTAGCACAGCTAAGTCTAACAACTCTTCTTTCTCCACCCTCCACATGTTATGTAGACTCCTGACAAATTCACACTGTGTGAACATCTAAGTTTTGGAGGGAGGGAGGCATTTTAAACAGACCAAGGAAAGATGGTGCTTATTCTGGGAAGAAGAATGTTCAGTGGTCAGGTCAGCTGGTTAAAGGTCCTCCTGATGCCGAGGAGTGGACAGGAAAACACTGGCTCTGTGACTAGGGTCAGGAATCCAGATCAGGAAAAAGACAAGATCCCTGCCCTCTGGAGCTCTCTGTCTAGCGTGGCAGGGGGATCGATGCATGAACAGGCCGTGTCAGAGCAGAACACTACCCATCCGGGACTGGGCCCAGTCCTACCTGTCCAGCAGAGTCTTGTAGCTGAGCACACCCGAGATGAGGCTGGCTGCAAACCTGCAGAGAGAAGAGAGGCTGAGTTTGCCTGCTTCTCTCCCTCCCTCCCCTCTGCCTCCTTTCCTCCTCCTTTTTCTCTTCCCTTCCTTCTTCCTCCTCCCTACCTTTGTCTCTGCTCTTCCTGCCCGCTCCTTCTGTTCCAAACTCAACCATCAACCCACCATATGCCAAGTCTGTGTGTACACTAATCAGATGTGGCTCCTGCTGTCCCTCCCCCAATGTTGTCAGCCCATCACAAGCCTTGCATTAAAAATGGTCCCTGGGGATGAAGCAGTTCTTGGGGAATGGAGAGGAGAGGAAACTGGAATCTCCTTGAGGATGAGAAGGAGAAGGAGGAAGAGGGGGCCAGGAGAGGCTCCAGAGTCAGCAGGAAAGGGCTAAATGGTGAGGGGTGGAGTTCTCCCTGGGAAAGGCCACTACGGGGGTTGGGACCCTCAGAGTTCTGGAAAATTCAGTCTACTGGGAGAAGACCATAATTTCATTCTTTTAGTGGCTAATGAAAAGGAAAGTGAGTAGTGAGTTGGGGGAGGGATGCCCCAAAGAACTGTGCCAGGGGACCACGTCATCTTAATTGTCCATGGATGATGAGGCAGAGCTTAATTGCATAGGGGGGAAAGTGCCCCCTCAGATGCAATTTGGAGAAGTGGTTTCAGAAATTCATCCATCCACACTCTTGCTTCTGCCCCAGTGAAGTTCTGGCTGCAGGGGAAGAGAAGGTTACCCCCATCACTACAGTCAGTGGAGCTGGCCTTATGGAGAGGATAAGGGTTGTGGTGAGGGACTTCCCAGCATGGCTGAGCCCTGCCCAGAGACTTAGGGGCCCTGTCTTTTCTCCTCAGGCCACTTTGGCCTGCCTTCTCTCTGCATTGTCCCCATTCAGGTCTTGAGAGCAGAAACTGAGACTCTAGCAGGGGGGTCCTTCTACCCCCACCCCCTACCCTCACCAGTCATCGTCATCAGTGGGCCCAGAGGCCCTTCCAGCGGCTCAGTGAGCTCTGAAATTGCAGCAGATGGCAGAGACTCTGGCAGCAGCGGCTGGCAGGGAGCTATGTTTCCACCCCTCTGGAGTCTCAGTTTGGAACCTGGGCTCTGGAGCAGCAGGAGCTTCACCCTCAGGCAGTCTGGGGCAGTGTGTCCCAGCCAGGAGTACTGGTGAGTGGCAGAACACATGCCTCCTCCCAGGGACTCAGCCAGGTCAAGACTGCTGTGGGGATCCTCAGGGCCCATGACCTCCATTTAGAAGACTGTGTGTTTATTACCTGAGTGCAGCTATGCCTAAACTCCTTTCAACCCAATGTTTTGGATAGCCACTGTCTTGAGGCATTTGGCTCCAGAAAGCTGTGACCCCATACCTTGGGCAGGTACCCAAGCTGCAAATTCAGGAGCACAGTAGCCTCACCTTAGCTGGTCGTTGGTGTCTTGAAAGTGCTGCCGAGCAAAGATCACAGCTGGGCTGGAGTTGACGGGCAGAGCCAGGCGGTTATTGAGATACATGTCATTGAGCCAGAACTCAGACACCTGCCAGGAAGCACAGGGAAGAGGAGCCATTCTGGATGTTTGGTGATATCCCTCTGTTGGCCACACAGACCCCTCCCAAAACAGGGCCCCTTGCCAATAGAGATTACCAATTCTATTCTGGTGGTCCCAGGAGAAAACTGGGGCACCTCATTGGATTATTCACTTCATTCATAACTGAGCCCCAGTTACGTTCTGGGGCCCAGGTGCTCCCCAGTCCACCAGGCCCACCCTTCATCTTTGTCCCATTTGGGATGGTTAGTAATACACCTCTGTGCCCTGCCTGTGGGTCTCATTTCTGCTTTTCACTCTGCGCTGCTTCTCTGACTTCATTTCTATCTCCATTTCCCCAAGACTTGTCCCCATCTTTGTATCTTGTCTCAATCCCCCGTCTCTATTCCTATCTTTCCCTTATTCCTATCCCCCACCTGTCGTATCCCCATCTCTCCTCTTCTTTCTCCATCCTTTTTTCTCATCTTGCCTGCCTCTCACTCTTGCCTTTTGCGGTCCCCCAACCCATGTTACCTATCTGTTCCTGTCTACCCCCATCCCTGTCTCTCCCTGTGTCTCTGCATCGGCTTCCTGCCCCTTCCTCATGGGACCCTTGTCAGCCTGTCCCAGCAATACTTACCCAATTGGCTGTCTTCTCCTGTCGTTCCAAGAGTTTCTGTTGCAGGGTCTCACCAAGGCCACCAGGGGCCCCAAATCTCTGCACGATGGCCTGGCTGTTTCTGAACTGCTCCTCAGGGACCAGGTGTTGCATGCACTGCAGGTAGGTGGCCAGCGTCTGCTGCAATGGGGGCACTGGCAATTTGGGCAGCTCCTGGAAGAGGGGGTTCACAGGCACTCAGTGTGCATGTCCTTTTTTGTAGCCCATGACTGTCCCTGAGATGATCCATAGCATGTGTCTCATTCTGTCCTCTTTGTTCCCTATTCTGGGACCTGTCTGTTTCTAGGATCTGGCTCAACAGAATTATAAATTAAGGATACTTGTTTCCTTTCCTGTCTTTCACTATGCTTGGGTCCCAGAAGGTCACAAAACACAGAGGAAAATACCTTGATGTTGGTATCAGCGAGACCTTGACCCTCTGGCTGATAGTGGTATGACCTTGGGCAAGTTCTTTTCCCTCCGTCAGTATCCGTTTCTTTCCATATAAAATGATCCTCTTATAGGATGAAAGGGATAATGCATATGAAAGTACTTATAAAACATAAAGGGTAGGTCTAAGGTGAAAATTACTGACATTGTCGGATGGGAAGGGTGCTACTCTTGTAGAGATTTGGATGGGTCAAATATTGCTTTGGGTGGGAGACATGGTTCAGTGCTGCCTAGATGACCAGAGTCATTAGTGCTGGGAATGTGCTGACAGCCACACTTCAAAATCCCCAGGTCCCCAGCAAGATGTCTCATGCCCTGAGCTCCTTGTTATATCCCTCCCAGTTATGAAACCTAGGAGGAAGATTTTGTTCCATGTGGGGATGAGGGGTGGGAAGGTACAATGGAAGCTCAACCAATACACAAATCTCTCCAAGTCTTGGCTTATCATCCATAGGACATAAATAAGAACTCTTATCTGAGAGGGTCACACAGAGAATTAAATGAGAAAAATGAGTGTCTACAAATAGGCCCATTTGGGATATTACCAACCTTATCCCTCCAAAAGAAATTCTAAGAGGAAAACTGCAATCTTGGGGTGCTCCAAAGTGTGGCTAGAGTCAGGAGAGCATCCCAACTGCTGAGAAACCCCACCACTGAGAACCCAATCATGGTCCTTACATGGGCACTGTACTTCCTATTTGCCCAGTTGCATTTCATTTAGGGGTGTCATGTCTGTCTTCAACTTTGTCACCTTGCCAGGCCACAGTTTTTCATCCCATTTGCAGAAGAAAAAACTGAGGCCCAAAGAGTGGAGAAACTAGTCCAAGGTCACAAAACAATTTGATGGCAGAGCCTGAACTGAAACCAATCTGTACCCAACATCCGGGGATTTGCTTCTTTCTCTCCAGTTGCTCTCTCTCTCTGTCTCCCTTTTCCACTCCTTCCGTCCCTGCTTAGTCTCTGACAATAGGAAAGCAGGACTATTGATAATGCCCAATTTGTAAAGTTGGCAGACAGTGGGCTGCCTTCCTTGGAGGAATTTCTCCTCTGGAGGGTGGAGAGCTTCCATGAGGCAGCCAAGGGTTCACCCCACCATAGCTGGTTGAGAGCGAAGAGGCCCCTGGAAAGCATTTCCTGCTCTGTTCCTGCTCCTGCACCCTGGGCAGAGCAGAGTGCTGATGGTTGAACACAGTTTCCTACCTGTCTGATCCTGTCTCTAGAGTTCATTGCTTCAGCAGGGTGTGGGGGTTTGGTGCCAACTATGGGCTGCTGCTGCCCTGGGGACATGTGAGAACGGGTTTGGGCAGTAGCTGGGTTGTTCAGCCCACTCCCAGAAAACCAAGTCTGGTTCCCTACCCAGCTGCTCTGGTCTTACTTCTCTTGCATTTGGTGGGGGTGGTCTCTTAGTGGTCAGTAGGTGAGCAAGCAACTACAGAAAGCTCAGCCCAGCTGGTGACCTGGCCAAGAGTGCTGGCAAGTCTGACAGGAGCCACTGCTAGAAATGGCTACCCTTCTTCCAGGCACTCATTGTGGGCTAGGGCTCAGCCTGGGTAACAGGGAATCAGAGATGGGTAAAAAGAAATGAAGCAGGAAATTTCAGCTCAGGCATCTCAGGTCCAGAAGGGCCTTTTTCCAGGCACTTCTAGACTTCTGAACTGAACCAACAAAGGACTTTGGTACCTGGAGTCTCTCTCAGGTCCATACATGTTTTCTAGGGAGTTCACAAAAGCCAGGCTCTGGATTGGACTCAGAGATGATGGAGAGACAAGAGCCTGCTTTCCAGGAAACCACAGTCTAGGGGAATGGGGGCCTCAGCATAAACTAGAGGTAACAGTAGAGGAGTTGATCAACTGCAGAGGTTGGGGCAACATTAATGAGCAACTTCAAGATCAGAAGTCAGAAAATTCTGATTAGGGTTTCAAATGAAGGCACAGGAAGGAAGAAGAGTAGTGGCAAAAAGATGTGTATGGAAGAGGAACCGGCACAAGCAACAACCTGAAATTAGATATCTTGTTCTATCACTTGAAGGATGCCTACCCAGGGAGAGTGGCATTGTCGCAAAGCAGTGGAGAACGTGGTGCTTGATGTTCTAGGGCTGAACCATGACAGCAGCTGGTGCTGGGCTGTGGCAGGGTCTGGAGTAGGGAATTCAGCCTCACCCTAAACAAACACACTGGGCTCAAAGTCACCTGAAATAGAATTTGGTCTGGGGAGGTGGCAGGGGGAGTAGTAGTGTGTGTCGGAGTTCAAGGGTTTTCCCTGATCTGGTGATTAGGAATTGTGGCTGTCAGCATTCCCCAGCACTTCTGAGCCACACCCAGCCCCTCCAGGGCCTCTGGGCTCCTCTGCTGGCCTGGGGCAGCACTGCAATCTGGGCCTCATGCCCAGGAGAGTGCAGCATTGGGGAACAGGAAAATGCTGGGTGTCAGTCCCACTTAGGACTATTCTAGGGCATGTGAGTGAGGAGGGTACAAGTAAGATAGAGGGCTCTAAAATGACTCACAGTTTCCTCCTCACTGTTTGAAGTTTTTTCAGGCATCTTATGGGGTTTTTTTTCCAGGATAGGCATCTTGGTGACTCCTGGTCTCAAGTAGCAGAGGTGTAGATCTGGGGACAAAGAAGGAGAGTCATTAATACAAGGAACCCTCCACTGCCCACAGCCTGACTTCTGCCCCATGCAGAGGTTAGAATTTGAAAACAGTATCTAGGGGTCACATTGAAGATATGGCTCTAATCTTTGATCTCATGCCTATTCCTGTGAGCACAATGACCTCCCTGAGCCCCCAAGTTGTAAAGAGTGGGTTCTGAAGTGAGCCTCCAACTAGGACTTACTCTATCAAGGTTGCAGCTACCAAAGGCCAAGTGATCACCCCAGGGCAGCATTGGAGGAAGCAGGGCTGGGTTTGCCTATTTCCAATCCATGAGAGGTCACTACTGAATTCTAGCTTTGCTCCTGCCTGGAATCCAATTGGTATGTGCTGTGTTAATTGAAATCTCTTTTTCTCATTAGATTTTGAGCTTCTCAAGAGCAAGACTATATCTGCTGTGCCCAGTGCTTCATCCTTGGTGCTTGGCCTGGGGTGTGGCATGGAGTAGGGGGAAGGCTAGTCAGCTGAAGAAAAGAAATGCTTGTGTGAATTAACATGAACATGAATGACTCCAAGGTCCTCTAAGGCCTTTTGCTCTAGAAGGCATTCTGGGATGCTTGGGAGTGGCCTATGGCCAAGGCAGGAGGGACCTTAGGGCCTGCTGGAAAGGTTATGACTTAGGCTATCACTGGTCAGCAGGCTCCAAGGGTAGGTACCATAGGAATGTGGATGGAGATGATTTAGGAAACTGGATGACTAGGGTCCTTAAGAGCCACCTGACAACCTGGGGGTACACATTAATTTTGAAAGTAAAGTAGAAGTGGAGCCAGCTCAAGAGGGGCAAAGGCCAGTTTTTAAAGCTGTGGGGGTACAGTCTCTACCCCCTGCAATCCACTTAAACCTAATCTGCAGAGGTATACAACCAGGATTTCCATTAAACCATCATCTATTTTTTTTCCCAAGAGCCTGAGGCATACGTTTAACCCATTCTACTGCTTCTACCCCTAATCAGAGGCAAGCACAGACCTGGTGCTTGCATGTGGGTCAGTTGACCTTTGGAACACAGCATCCAGAAAGATGGATGCACTAAAGTCCAAGGTTGGAGGATCCTAGAACTGAATGGCCCTGCTGGCAGAAAGATGTAAAGTATTTGCAGGCAAGTGTAGGGCACTCCCAAACTAAGCCCAGAGATTGCAAAGACTGCCTAAGACTGTATGGCCAAAGTGGCAGTGTTCAGGTGAGAGTCCACCCTAGCACTATGCTGTTTTGAGGAGGCCATGAGGGCAAGGTCAAGTTTATAAAGTCCCTGCAGAAGGTGCAGCCAACGCTTTCTTCTTCCTTTGGTTCCCCAGAGGTGCCACATGGGTAACACTAGTCAGGCCTCATATTAGGAGCACAGACCTCAGCCATTGATTTCCTGGTGGTCTCCACCTGCCAGCTCTTCTTCTTCATGGGGCCAGCACCTACATATATATGAATATATGTCTTTCTATCTTTTTTGGTGCCCTCCCATCTGTATTCCTGCTGACCTGGTCGTGAAAGCCAGGGAAGGGATCTCTCCTCTGCTCTGTTGGTCCCACCCTACTCTGGTCGGGCATCACAGCGTCTCTGAGCTGCGACCCAGGTCAGAATTGCCACCTGCTGTCCCTCCTTTCACTTTTCTGCAAGGGTTTGAAGTCAGCTGGGTGCTCCCAGTACTTCAGGAAGCTCAGGTTGGGTCACGCGGACCCTCCCAGAGGCCACCGAAAGTATAGTCCTCTGCGGTTCTAGGTGAGATGAGAACACACTCGCGGAGTCCGGAGCCCTGATGGTGAAGCCCTTCCAAGCCCAGGCACCCAAGCTGCGTAATGCCGCAGCCTCCTGTGTGTTCCCCGACGGCTGTTCCTATCATGGGTAGACCTCCGAGGGTCCTGGAGCCTCTGGGCCCCGATGCCGTCGCTCCTTGGATAGTTCCTCCGAAGGGACAGCACCTCTGTACCCTGCCCTCCGCTTCCCCGGCTCTGCTTCCTGTGCCGCCCTCTGCCCGACCGGCCCAGCCCTTCTCACCTGCTCTCCTGGACTCTGCAGCCTCCACTGCCGCTGCACCACCAAGCAGGACTGGGGGCGGAAACGTGAGCCAGAGGGATGGGGCTGGGGGAAGGCGCGTCAGCAGCGTAGAGGTGGGGGCTGCCACCTAAGCGGGTAGTGGAGCCTCCGACGTCGCCGGGTCCCCGCGGCAGCCCGACTGGCGGCTAGCGAGCCGCCGCGCCTCTCCTCTCCTTCCAGTTCCTCCTCCCTCCCCTTTCTCCTTTTCTCTCCCTCCCCTGGCCCCTCCCCCCGTCTCTCTTCCTCTCGGTCCTCTGGCTTCTGCAACCCATCCCCCGCGATCCCACCTCCCAGTCCCGGAACCTGCCTGGACGGCTTCCCTGATGATGTCTTGGACCAGCTGCGGGATTCAGACACAGGAACTGGGTGAAGAACGCTGGCCTGCCGGCGCCGGTCGCCCCCAAGCCCAGTCTTTCCCAATCTCCGCAATCCCCCAAGCCCCCCATCACTCACTGCTGTGTTTGCATAAGCAGAATTCGGTGTGTCGATCTGAAGGAAATGACTGTCCCCCTCCCCAGTGGCTAGGCCAGGCTCAAACCCTACATTATACCCCCTTTCAAAATAATAATAATGAATCAGCTTGTGGATCCCTGCAGGACATTCTTCCATTTGCCATCCCATCCTTTCTGGCACTTTGGGGTGGGAGGTGGAGTTGAGGAAATGCAGATTTGGGCCACCCTGGATGGCAGACCTGAGCTGCTTAGGACATTTGGCAAGAGGCACACATTCCTCCCAGACAACCCCTTTCCCATATAGATGCTCTCAGAAGAGTATATATAGAGTCACCACAAAGACAAACCCTGCTCACACCCACCTTGCCAGACTCAAAGACCAAGGCAGACATGCACACACCAGCAGTACAAACCCCACCCCACCCCCACACACACATAGATGACCCTAACCCAACTGCCTTTTCTCTCTGGAATGGAAGGACTTGCAGCAATGGTTGTGGGTTCCGTGACAGGGAGAATCCGGCACACTTGACCCTGGGGCTCCCAGTATCAGGACTCAACAATGGGAAACTTCTCTTCCAGCTCCCACACTCCCATCTTTTCCCTTCAGGACCCAAACCTGCTCTGCAGGGACACAGCAGAGGTGCTGACAACTGACAACTCCTTGTAGGATACAGTCTGCCTCTCTAACATACACATACTCCCTGAAAGATGGGGCCCATTTTCCTCCCTCTCTCCACAATAGCTCTATTCCTACTCCTTTCTGCAAGCCTGGATGGATCGGAATACTGGTAGGAAGGGAAGCCCAGCCTAGGATCCTAGGAGCTCTGGCCTGTTCCAGGAGTTGTCCTCAAGGGCTGGGTGGGGTACCCAGGCTTCTGCTGGTGCCCCCCCCCCCCCCGGCCATCTGCTGAACTTGAATAGGAAGGGCTATCTCTGGCTGAGATGAATGTGTGCTCTACTGTGTATGTGGAGAAAAGTCCATGATGGGTTTGCTTCCTTTGTATCCCCTTTCCCAGGTAATAAAAGAACCACAGATTCTCACGCGGCTACCAAACTCAGGGCTGAACTGGGGTTTGGAGTCCCAGATCACCCACCCTTCTCCCGGGCTTTGTGCCAATCTGCCCACCCTCACCAGTAAAGAGACTCGGCCTCCTCGGACAGACATGGTTTATTAATTCGGCCGGAGGTGCCGCGGGGCAGCAGGCCAAGTTTGGCACTGGGAAAAACCAAAGGGAGTACAGACAAACGTTCTGCTCTACGCTAGGGAGCGCTGAGGTGGCCGCTCACACACCTCCATCTCTGCCAGGAGTGCAATCTCTTCTCATACCTTGGTGCTCCAGTCCCCATTGGATAAGAGAAAGGGGAATAGGGAATGGGTAGCGGAAAGGGGGTTAGGACAAGGAAAGAAAAGACTGGGATGGAGCTGGGGAACTCGCTGGAGGAGGCCCCGAGCCCGAGTTGGCCAGTGTGCTCGCAGGGCACCTTGACTCAAAGGGGGTAGGCTGGGTGGCTTGGAAGAGGAGCGGGGCTGCTAGCTGTGTGTGTAGTAGTAGTTGTAGTCATCCTCGCACCGGTCAAAAGGGCCAGGCGGGCTGCAAGGCTCGCCATCCGGGCCCGGCACAGAACGCTCACGTAGGCGCACCGCGTCGTACAGACCCTGCGGCGGCTCGTCGAGCAGCACATCCCGTTCCGACCGGGAGCGCGTCAGGAGGCCCACGTTACGCAGGAGCAACAGGACCGGCGCATAGAGCAGGTTGGCCAGGCCCATGCCAAGGCTGAGCTGCTCAAAGCCAAGCGAGTGTACAATATGGCCAGCTACTATGGGCCCGAGCGCGTAGGCCACGGAATAGGAGATGTCAGCGATGGCATAGACGCTGCCGTAGACTGAGACGTGGCGCACGTCCACGAGAAAGGCTAACGTGGGCAGCAGCGCGGTGTCCACTAGTGCAATGCCGAAGCAGAGGCCACAGAGGGAGACCACTAGCGGCGCGAAGGACCGGCAGGCTGGCACAATGCACGAGCTGGCACCAATCACTGCCAGCCCCAGCGCACCATACAGCCACTGCAGGTGTGGATAGCGCGCTGCCAGGCGTACGGTGAGGTAGACACCTAGCACGTGGGGCACAAAGGCCGGCAACCAGGCCATTCCCATCTCCCACTCCGACGCCGCCATCGTGTTCTTCATCCACGTGGCGATAGTGGGCTCGAGGAAGGCTAGGGGAATGTTGCAAGTGGTCAGCGCGCCGGCTACCACAGCGATGTAAGGGTCCAGCATGAGGCGATGGATGGGCGTGCCCACTGGCAGGTTGGCTCGAGCGCGTGCAGCTGCAGAGAAGGGCTTGGCCACCGCCAACAGCAACAGCGCGTCGAAGAGTGACACGGCAGCAAGCACCAGAAAGGGCACGCGCTTTCCAGCGAACTCATAGAGGATGCCCCCGAAGGGCGGCGCCACTAGG